TGGTTTGAGATTTACTTTTACAATGATTTTGTGATTTTAGTTTTTCACGCATACATTTGATGCTGGAGGGGGGCTGCTCATCTTCTATTGAACCCCCGACGGACGTGCACGGACTGACCGGACTGGCGGGTTGCCTGCTGTGGACAAATGTCTAAGGCGGACGGACTTGTGCGTCGTAAGGAAGCAGAATCGCTTCCTTACAACTTGCACATATATATTGTTATTCAAACACTAGTGATATAGCAAATATTCCATTTTCTATCGATGCAACAGCAATCGAATTGTTCAATCTCGCGAATATCTGTCGAATCGAGTACGCATTCGATATCAAGAACCGAATACCTGGACGACAACTGCACTCTTATCCGATTTAATAATTTTTACTTAATTATCACTCCATCTGTTATAGGAATAAGCACTATTGGATTAAATTTTGAAATAAAACTTTAAAACTTGACAGACAATATTGTTATTTTATAACTTATAACTGAGAGCAAGAATATAATTTTTTCATTATTTTCATTATTTTCATCATTTTCTTTTATGGAATTATCTCCTACAGGCGCATGAAGACAATTTGAAAGCGAAAAGAGATTCCTGACAGTTCGTTACCGTGCCTAAGGTGTTTAAAGATTATTTATTGAAAATACTGGAGCCGATTACAAATCATCCGACAAATGTTAAGATACATAAAACATTCTTTTTAGAATCAACAAAACCAAAATTTTTAGGCTAACACTATACGTAGTGTAAAAAGAAAAAAACAAAACAAAAAAAAATGCTTATAAGTGTACGAAAAACCAAAAAAAAAAAAAGTAAAATTTTATGTACATATATATTAGAAATATTTTAAATTAAAATCTGCAAACGAATTTCAATGTTTTAGATGTAAAACGATTTCATATCATAAAAACAACTAAGGAAGCCTACGCTGAAATTTAATCTTCCTTTACCGACCACCTAAGCTCTTAGAATATTTTAAAGATGAATGTAAATTTAATGCGTATAATGCATGTGCATGTGTATGTATGTAAATATAGCACAAAAACAAGTAAAAACACTATAGTGACTCATGGCTCACCATTAAATGCCCTACAACACGTTGCAGTTATTTACGAACGGCTTTTCATAATAAGTCATTGTATGGAAAGCGGTCGAAAAAGGTGATCTGATTCGTACCATTTTCAGTAGCTTTCATGTTTAGGCCAAAAAATATCAGTGTACCAAATTTCATCCAAATATCTAAAAAATCGCTGTTAGGTAATCATAGGAGGATAAAATGGACCGACGGGCAGACAAGCTGAAATTGATTCAGAAAGTATGTTTCAAGTCTTTTCACAATAAACTTTTTACAATAAGTCGTTAAACGGGAAGAGGTCGAGAAAGTGGTCTAATCCGGCCCATTTCCAGTAGCTTTTATCCTTAGCGAAAAAAAGGCGGTGTACCAAATTTCATCTAAGTATTTACAAAATTGCTGCAAGGTGAACATAGGAAAACAAAACGGACAGACGGACAAACAAACTTAATTTGATTTAGAAAGCGGTGGACCTACTTCAATTTCTTCTCTGTGTTGCATATATCCACACCAACTTAACATACCGTTGTTCCAGAAGTGCTGTGGGGTATAAAAATTCTTTTAAATTTTATCAATGCTTTGAAAATCTCAGTCTATTATGAGTCGAGTTTCAGGCCAGTTGCAAACTTTTAAGCCAGAAAACTATCCCAATTTAATGTAATTTCTTTTCACACACATTCAGGCCAGATAAATAAAACCAGTTTATAGCTCAGCCGTTCAAATTTCTCAAATTCAAAGCAACGATCTTAGTTTGGTGGGTACAAACGAAGACAAACAAAGTGAAAACAAACAATTGCTTCATTTAACAGGACAATAACATAAATAACCCAACAATACTTTTTATAAAATTGAAACTTTAGCATGTAAGTAAATCTTTAGTAATAATTTTTGTACAGTGCAATATTTACTTGTACGAAAGTGCATTAAATGTGTTTTTGTGGCCATGTGCTAATAGAATTGTGTACAATATGATGTGAAATATAATAATAATAATAAAACATATATATATGTAGATGGTAATCCTTAAAGGATCTGACATAAGAATTTATTCCGATATGAGATAAGGTGTGTGAAATATTATTAGAGCATTAAAAAAAATTAAAAAACAAAATTAATATAATTAAATGTACTTAAATTCAATTATTTGATGTGTTCCAGTGAAACGACAATATCAATATATTTCAATATCATTGTTATTAAGTTTTATTATAATGCTTCCGTTTATACGAAACCAGACTTACGTTACCACTACAAAACTAAAAAACAGTAAACAAAAACATAAATTACTTTTTAAATTTGTTTTATATTTTCATGTAAAAAATTGTAACACATTTTTTTTTTTTTTTTTTTATAATTATAAATTGCTGTTTATGTTCTTCTTATTATTTTATTGCAATGTTTTATATAAAGATTGTAATGTATTTGAGAGATATCTTACTATCAAGGATCATTATGTGTAATTAGTGATTAGTTTGCTACTGAAACTGAAATATCAAATATATTAGTTTGGTAAATTTTATTGGAATAATATCAAAAATGATTCCTTATAATAATAAATTATGATTAGAGGACTTAGTAAAACAAACTAAAAACAAAAAAAAAAAAAATCATTAAAATAGTTAAAAATCCTGAAAATATTCTAAACGTTTCGTAAAAATATGCACTTCTCTCTTTACCCGCACTTAGATCCAATTTATGTTAAATAAGACAAAAACAATCAGGCTATCAATGAAGTATTGTAAAAAGATATGGCATTCTGTTTATATATCCACCGCCAAGGAATATATATTTACTCGTCGCCATAAATGACGTTTATAGGCGTTCACACGACGTCTATAGCAGTCCTATAATTTAGTATTATAAAACAATACAAAAAAAAAAAAAAAAGAAGAGTATTTTTGGGAGCACTCACTAATTTTAAAATAAGCATCAACGTGTTTACCTATTACTACTTTTAGTTGATAAACTCCTGCAGTGAACTTATTCTTTCAGTTTGTCTCTTATTAGAATACCAAATATTAATGTGACACGCCCACAACAATTTAAATATTGGAAAACAATCGTTAGAAACAAATCGAAATATTTTCTTTATATTGCTAATAATAACTTATGACATTTAAAACATGGCGAAGTCTATATACAATATACTTCATTGTTTATAAACACTATACCCTGATCTTTATCCCTTTTAGTAGATAAGTTTAGGCAACACAATTGCTTGTAATTAACTGTAGCTTATTATTGCTTACAGCGTAGACACCATATGCATGCTAGTTACCTAAAAAGTGTGGCTTAGACCACATATTAGAGTTTGGATTAGGGTGAAATGTTTTTATAATAAATATAAAATTGTATGCATGTTACCGTTTGCTGCATATCTTTATAAATATTGATTCAATCGATGTTTTAATTAATCATAATTAATCATCAGATTAAGTTGAAGTGTCGCTTTGATGAAGATGTCCAATATGAGTCAGAATATAGTGTTTATACCAGAAGTAACATTGTGAATATGTTTTGATTTGCTGATCTAGTATAACTGCAAGCTGACTAAGTTGTGAGTGTTGCTTCCATGAATACGTTCAACATAAGTCAGGATATAGTGTTTACACCAAAAAGTAACCTTTGGTTTGCTTTTCTATTGCATACAATTGCATGCATTTGGTTCCTTGCAATCCTGCGCATGTAAGCTAAAAGGCGGCTTAGCCCAATTTATCAAATACGGATAAGCGTATGCTTCAAAAATTGCGCTTACATTAGATTTTGATGACCTGGATCACACTTCCGTTCCACTTCCGTTCCGCTCGCAATTGACCTTTCGATATAAATTAGTGGAGAAATTATTTACACACTCTATAAGACACCAAAATACTGCTGTTCGGAACGACTACTTCTTGAAATCATTTAGATATTGCAGTTAATAAAAGAAAAAAAAAAAACAAAAAAAAACCTAAATTTTACATATATATAATATTTACCTTATCTGGTGGATGGCAAAGTTAGCGAATAAAGTTTTTGTTTACATTTTTTTCTACTTTTTTTTTTGTTTTGCTGAACATATTGTTAAAGAAATGTTCGATTATTCTACATAATATTCATAACAAGATAAATTAATTTTATAATTAAATTTTTCTGTTTAGAAAATTAATGATAACCAGGCAGCTATTAAACAAAAGCCGCCACACGTGGCCACTTGTATGTAAGTTTTATCGCCAGTCAATGCTCGATAATACATGGGCCCACTAAATAGAAAAGTACCAGCTGCCATTAGAGAACCAGTCTATAAAAATTGAAAAAAGAAGAAACATATAAAAAAAACAACAACAAGCAAATGAATCAAAACCAAACAAGTCAACAATTTTTTGTGCACAAAAAAGCTTTAATTAATTGATAAATAGTATAAATAATGCAATACCTTTAATACTTTGTAAACCCTTGAAGCTTAACTGAGAGTAAAAAAAAACGAACCTATTCAATATAAACGTTTTAATAATTTTTTTTTTTTTTTAATATTCCAACTGAATGCATTTAAAATGTTAAACCAATTCTAAAGCTTACTTTAAAAAAAACAAAAAACAAATGAATTAATTATATTTTAACTGATAGAGAAAAATGTAACTGAAATCTTATCTAGGGGTTGTTATTAGAACAAAAAATAAATAAAATAAAAATATAAAAAACGTATTAAATATTGAAACAAACGAGATAATAATGTTCTCTCAAATTTTAGGAAAAGATAATCATAAAAGGAAAGTACAATAGTTTAAGAATATCAAAACAAAAATGAAAAAGAAATGCTTTATCAACAAAACTTCACTTTATATGAAAGAGTCAATTATTATATATGAGATCAAATTTTTAAGTAGTAGTTAGTAAGTAGTTACAAAATTAGAGAAACTAAATAAATAAATCATAAAAAAAAAACTAATAAATTATTTCATTTTTAAACTTGTTGGGCGCACTGCCAGTGAACTGTGATTGTAAGTTATTTTAGGCAGAAATAAATATCACTGAGAAGTCCATTCCACCAAATAATGGGAACTGAAAGTATCACAAGGCAATCCTCTTACAGATTATTACATCATGATAACTCAAGCTTTAGACAAAATTTCGAATCATGTCAACAACAAAGTAAACTCATCTCTCGTTCAACTGTCTTTGGGCGGATTTTATACCCAGCCCCGAACGATAGGAATACACTCAGTTTGTCATGTTTGAAACTGTATAATGGTTATTGTCACTTTCCTGGCCGTAATCATTCCGTCAGTCAAGAAGATGTATGTAGAAAATTTATGCTAATTAATCCTAAGATAAACAAGGCAGAATATTTAAAATTATTTTGTGCATTCCTGACATGAAAATATATTATCTGCCCAACAAATCGTTTACTCTAAAATAAATATGGACAGCACGGAAATATTAAAAATTCTGCAAAAATCCTTAGCGAAACACAGCACCATTATCCGAGTATAATTTTGTTGAATTCTGCCATTTCCAAAACTCAAGAGTGTACACAATCGATAAAAGAAAATGAAAGTCTTAAACCAAATGTAACAACACATCCGGAAAGGGCTTTCATTTGACTTTCTCGAACTGAACACAACGTTGGTCTCAGTTTTTAATATCCAAAGAGATTTGCTATTAACGCATTATAAATATTGAAAGGTCAATACAACAGGGGTAAATCAAAAATTTAGATGAGAATGTTTCTCTGCTTCAACATACACACTTTTCTTAGACGCAAAATCAAGAACCATTCTTTTGGAACTTACCAAAACAGGCCGACGTGTTAGAGGCGTGGCTAATAGAACAATCGAATGCAAGAAATGAAAACGATTAGCTGTATCGAACACATTTTTGGCTTCCATTTTAACACTTGGATCACTAATGTTACTCAGACAATGCTTTGCATATGCACCCATTATAACTGCAGCAGTGCCGCTTAATCCAGCCAATCGAACGAAATTATACCCAACACCAGCAATTTCCCACAACTTTAAAGGTTTCGCTGGAGGTAATGGTAAACTTTGTTGCTTTGGTTTTATGCCCTAGGAAAAGATATGCCATATTCCAGTATCAATTTATTTTTAATTAAAAAAATGTAGAAATTTACAGATTCTTTTAAAACAGCCGATGTTGTTGTGACAAGTGCTTGACTAATAGGATTTCCTATGGCTAGATAGTGTAAAGCATCACCCCAAGTCATTTTATCCAATTAAGGTCCTTTTCAAGCTCAGAAACAAACCGTAAATAATTTAAACAATGATAGTATTTACTTTTTTTCTGTTTTTAAGGTTAGATGCACCAAACCGATTGAAACAATATATTTATTTATGAATGTCGAAAAAATTTCTTCTTCTTCTTTTGTTACTCAGCAATTCGCTGCGATGTGTAAATAAGGAGTGAACCTGATGTTCTTATGCGTTAATAAAGTTAGGGTATATTTGTTATTAATTATTTATTTATTATAAAACTATATTTAATTAATGTGAAGTTTCTCTTAATTTTTTTTATTAATTTTAACATTTTAACGAAAGAATAGTCAATGAATTCGCTTATAATCAAAGTTCTTCTTCATTAAAATCAGCTGTGCCTTGTTATTGGGAATGTTCACGTAAACGTAAACCAACTTTTAATTAAAATGCATAGGAAATCTTTCCAACGTTCATTAAGTTGTAGTTGGCATCAGTTAAATGCTAAGCAAATTCCATCTAATTTAAAAGGTAAAAGTAAAAGCTCTCAAGAATGGTTATTGCGGCAATTGGCTGATCCTTATGTGGAAAAGGCGCGCATGATGAATTATCGCTGCCGCAGCGCATTCAAATTGTTGGAAATCGATGATAAGTATAAGATAATCTCACCAGGAAACATCATAATCGATTGTGGAGCCGCACCTGGTAGTTGGACACAAGTAGCAGCTGAACGTTGCAATGCAAATGGGAAAGTTGACAATAAACCTTTGGGAGCAGTTTTTAGTATTGACCTCTTGCACATACATCCCGTAACGGTAAGTAACGTTTGATTAATATCTAACATTTTTATGTGTGGGAGTTAAAATCATTTTATGAATTAAAGGGAGCCACTATACTTGGAGGCATGGATTTTACTAAAACGGAGTCGCAGTTACGTTTAAAAAAGGCATTGGATGGAAAACGAGTAAATTGTGTGCTATCGGATATGGCTCCTAATGCCACCGGAGTTAAGATGATAGACCAGGAAAATATTATTAATTTATGCTACGCAGTTCTAAAGTTTGCTTTAGCTATGTCATCGACTCAGGCTAACTTATTGATGAAAGTCTGGGATAACGCTGATGTACCAAAGTTGGAAAAAGACTTGGAGCGTTTCTACGCGAATGTGAAACGCGTTAAGCCTCGAGCGAGTAGAGGTGATTCATCTGAACATTTTCTGTTGGCTCGCAATTATAAAGGCATAGACCACGTTGCAAATCATTTCGAATCGAATCGTGGAAAGTCGTAGCTTTCAATTTTAAATTCTTACAATATTTTTAGATTTTAATAAATACAAAAGCAAGTTTGGTAATAAGTTTCCTTTGCAAGGAACCATAAAGGAGGATTAAAGTTTATTTTAATTGAACTTTTTGTAGTGCGTTAAATGATCTATCAGAAAATACATCCACTTGGGTTGGTCTGCGGGAGCCATGTGACCAGCGTTGCGCACCATGATTTCAATAAGATTACCAGCATGTTTAGCGTAACCGGCAATCTCTCCATCCTCCATACGCCAAACCTCTCGAGTGGCTATTTTATATAAATTGGCATCTTTGTACTTCAAATGTTGCAAATAATTTCTAGTCAAGGGATATGCGACGATTATATCCAATTGACCATTATAAATGCACACGATATACGTATTCAAGAGCTCACTAATCCAAGGTGCCACAGTATCCATGATATCTTCCTTCAGATGGATTTCTACTTTATTTATTGTATCGATGTCGTGAAATGTCATATTTCCAACGTGAATTGCTTTGCGGACAGTAGAAGACTGCAAAAAAGTGCCCAACGCATGAGTTCTGTTGTCTTCTTTAGTGCGCAAATAGTTATAATAGTAATTGAAACCAGTTAAATTGTGAAACAATGAACCATTTGTCATGTCTCCATTCAGAAGGTTATCGAAAACTTCGAAAGCACAATCCATTTTATGCGTGGCTATGCAATCTTTTCCTTTTTTCTCAGCTTCGTTAAATTCTATAAGACCATGTTCATCAATTAAACCCAATTGATACAAGTAATCACCATACTGCAATTGATGGATAGGATCGGAAAGGCCATTTCCTATGGCCATCCCTTTTAAAGGAATAATAGTTCTTGTGTCAATTGAATTTTGCACCTTATGAATATGATACGCTAAAGCTGGAACGTATTTACCAGCGTACGATTCGCCCGCAATCCAAAAATCGGAATTTCCGCTCCATTCGAATATTTCATATAATTGTTGTACGGCTTCGTGCAGATTGTGACCCACAGTTTTCTCGTTACGAGCATAGCCTTCTTCGTGATCGGTAAAACTGAAACCAGTTCCGACAGGGTTATCTATGTATATAAGATTGTGCGTCTTACTCCAGGTGTAATTACGTTTCCCCAATTCGCCATCTTCATTAAATTCGAAAGGTCCATTTTCAGCGAATAATCCAAACAAAGAAGAAGCGCCGGGACCACCTTGCAGCCATAAAACGACTGGGGAATAAGCAGGATCCTCTTCAGAAGGAAAATACCAGAAGAACATATTTGAATTGTAATTGGGATCAACAGTCAAGTAACCGGAATAGCTTTCAATATCTTCAAAATCTTTATGGTTTACCCTGGAAATATTTCTTATCATCTCTTTAGTCCATTTAGGATCTGCTATCAAAGGAGTTAAGAACAATGGCTCTCCCGGGTCACCTTTGTCATAGTGTGCTTTAAATCTCGGATAGGGATTTATAAAACTCTTGCGATATCTAGCTTTCGTATTTTTCTCCGCGCAATTAATTTGTTTCACACAGAAAAGTATTGCGAAAATTCTTATTGTAAAGCTTGAAAATTTCATGATGCTTGCTGCCGAACAAAAACTGTACTTTCCTATATAAATGTTTAAAATAAATTAATTATATATGAATGCCGTCTATATTTACTCACTGCACTAAACGTTATCTAATCCTTTCTCGATAAGAATGCAATTGTTCGTCGACTTATGGAATTACAATAATAGAACAATTCTCTATGATTAAGCAAATTTTTTTTTTTACCGGTTTATGGGCTAGTGTTACCATACAAATTGACATCGGGTCTTTCCCCTTTGATTGAATAATATATCAAAATTGTTATTCAGCTAATTCAGGCTATGCAACGGGAACAACTGTTGCATTGAAAAAGCGAGTCTGAATTTGGTGACAATTGGGAAAGAAATGAAACAGCGAGTCTGTATTTGGGGACGGAATGCATTGCAAAATATAGAAATATAAGGTAATAAGATAATTATAATAATAATAAAAAATAAATAATATAATAAATGATGAGATGATGAAAAGAGACAAAAAAAAACATACATACATATGCCTACCTATATTTTTATATATAAAAGGATCTGAAAAATTCATTTCACTAATTATCCTAAAATTGCATTTCTTTTTAAGAAATTAGATTAATTAGTGGAAGAGTTATTGAAGCACATAAATTTATTCCGTAGACAGCCATGTAAATAAAAGTTATAAATTATTTTATGCGGTAAAAGTTGTTCATTTCCTTTTAAACTTTTTCATTTATTTGAATACTTTGTTAAGTTTTTTCGTTTTTATATTTTCTGAGACCACCATTCTATTGCTGAAAGTAAAATTTACTTAAAAAACTTTAAAATCTATTTAATTTGCATATATATATATATATGTATATATGTATGCATGTGTTCAAAACACGGTCACGCTTTTTTCTCAGCCTCGGAAGAGAAATTGGAATTAGTAAAGTCGCGGCCATATGTTCAATCAAAAAACTAAAAAAGAAGAAGAAAATGTACATCAAAGAAACGAGAAGTAAAAAAGAAGAAGAAAACCTACACAAAAAACTAAAAACCTATACCAAAAAAGCTAGAAAAGAAGAAGTACATCTACACCAAAAAACTAAAGAAGAAGAAGAAAACCTAAACCAAAAAAATAAAAACCTACACCAAAAAACTGAAAAACAAGAAGAAAACCTGTACCAAAAAATCTACAATAAAATAAGAAGATTGAAAAGGCATCATGAATCTTTCATTCCATTTGATAACAGTGGACTTCTTCAAAACTTTAATCTTTGAATTTATTTCTCTAGCTGATTTAATTATAATAATAATAATGCATACAATTACAATTAAAAATTATATTCAAAGCATTAAACGAATGAGAAAATTTAAGTTAATCCGTATCTTTGAAGTCATCTCACGATTCTTTTACTCTGCAACTTACACATTATTGCAACAAAATAAGTTAATCTACGTTCTCTTCCCACGGTCTCGGTTCTCTAATATTCTCCCAATTTTCAATGTTAAGCTTTTTGATTTTCTCAAATTCTCTTTCTACAGTCACGTCTTCGGGCTTCTTCAGGCTTACACCGACCAGCTCCATATCATTTATATCTAGTGAAATAGGAGCAAATGAATTTTATAAATTATATCATGTGAATCAAAAAAACGAAAATTTCTGAAGACCAAACTTACCATACGTATATTAAGTTCTTCCACACTGGTGTAAAGAAGAATTTGATTCCTTGCATTTGATTCCACCATAGCCCGTAATGATTCAAAAATAACGTACGATATGTAGAATAAAAACTTGGCCCAGGCCCGCAGCAGCAAGGGAAACACCAACAGCCCGGCCACGTTTTGAATTGAATTGAAATAACTATTAATGAAAACAAACGGTACTTTGGTAATGTATGCCTACATTTTTTTAGTTTTGGATTTTAATATACCAAGGAAAGAGTAGGTAGTAAGCACGTTCTTATGTTTGTAATAATCACATATAATCACATATACGGCCGGCATTCGCTTTCTTCAGTCTTCCTTTGGTTTTTTGGTTTGATTGATTATCTCTATCGCCTAATACTTTAATGGTATAAATATCTGGATCTGTGCTCGATTTGAATGCATTTTCCGGAGAGATGATTTCATCTTATTGTTACTCCTAGGCCTGAAAACGTGTTATAGGAAAGTGGTTATCAAAATTATCTTATATGCATCAGCATACAATATTTTGAACTATACGTTGAATACAAAAATACAAGCTTAAATCGATTCGGCAAATTGTTACGACTGGTATAAACAAGTCTTAAAGCCCTCTGGATATTGCGGATATATCGAGGACGCTGCACTGGCCACGGATTTTCATTTCTTCTTCCTCCTTTCTTTATTTTTTAACCTATTATCGTCCATGTTTTCATTTATTTGTGTGTAGAGAAAACCGTATGAATTGCTAGAATCGACAAAGCATCGTAAAAATTTGAGAAATTTGTGAATTCTGACAAGCCTAAAAATGTGCATATTCATTGCTTGCAATATATTGAACTTAAATTTGCGAACCTAATAAACGAGCAAAGATTTTCTATGGGTAAAGCCTTAATTCTCTCCTGTAAGAGTGTAAAAATCAATTTATGCATAGTAATCCTGATCAATAGAAATCCCGTAAGCGAATGAAGAAACGAAAAAGTTACATTCATCTTAAGACCTTTGGATATCCTTTGATATTAAATTAATTGCCAGTGTGCTTACGAATCTTTAAAAAATAATTTCAAACTTGATCTACGAATTTCAGTTAGTAACTTACGTGAAAAGTATTAAAATTAACAAGCAGACTTAAGGTAATACAAAGTTCTGAGCTAATATTTAACATTTTCCATCTGGACATATAATAACAGTTTGGCTTGAGGTCAATTACTGCTAAACAAAGTTCTTTAAAACCTTCAACTGATATATGTAGTTAATAATGTCCCCTATTTCTACGTGCTGTAAACTGGCTAAGAAAACATTCATACATTACTCTTAGGCTATAAAACTTCTGAACATTGGGTTCTAATTCAATTGGCTGCCTATTTCTGGAATCAACTTTCATACGTAAACGTAGCTGTAGGCGATCATGCCCCTGCATGTCTTCAAGATCAATGCATGTATGGCCATCAGTTAGATAAATGTAAACAAGTTTCAGTTTTTTTTTGTTCTCAGTGTTCGCAATAGTAAGCTTGCTAAATTAGACTTTATACAAACGAGCCGTCACGAATATGATTACATTACGAAACGTTACTTTCTTAACTGGTTGAGCTATTATATCATTAATGTGTTAAAGCTTTCATTATAACACAGTTGACAATTTACATATTATCAATATGGGTGTGCGTGTGTGTGTGTGTGGTAGAGTTATTTGTCAAATTACAATGTGTAGTAAGTAATCTCTTTTCAACAAGTTTTTATGTTTTTTTCTGATTTCGTGCGTAAATTGGAAATGTGTGAGAATTTATTATTAAAAATATGTAACAACACCTGGAATAAAGTGAATGCTTTTCTTTGGAAATAAATGAAACAAATGCAAATTTAATGAATGTAATATTATAGGATAATAAAGTGAAAAATGATAATTGTTTTTAGAAGAAGAGTGTGAAACGAGACTTTTTAGTGAAATGAAGAATTTTTTAAGAATATTTTGTGTGGTTTTTGCGTGCGAACATATTTTTATTGCATCAGCCGACGCCGCCGAAAATCCAGGACCAACGATATTAAATTCAATTAATAATATTGATATCGCCGATGAATTGAGCAATGCAAGAAAGGTTTTGTGTGGATTCATTTTTTATGGTGTAAATATCATGCATCAGTTTGCTTTATCTTTTGTAGGACTGTACAGATGTGGCTCGTGATGAAGAAACGCTAATGGTATTCTCAACATTAGGAGGCGGTCTAACAGCAATCGATCCGATAACAAGTGAAATACGTTGGATTATTGCTGATGGTAAGTAAATGTGTGTGTTTTTGTGTTTGTACCAACATATCATATGTACACGCAGTCATTAACAAGCAATTAAACGCACACATCTATATAACGTTAGTATATTGTTGTTATTGTTCAAATATATTATGTTTTCTAGGGCAATAAAAAATATTCTCCTGATAATTGTTTTATATAGAGGTTTCAGCATTGGACTATTTCCTTTAGCAATCTATTCATAAAACAAAAGAAAAAGAATCATCAGTTACGAAGAAACTCTGCGACTGCGATATCAATTAAAGTCGTCAATTTCTACTTTCAAGTTCTTTTGTAACCTTTGAATTGCTAACGAAATCCTTTTCAAGCCGTAGTCCAGTTGACATCACATCAAACTGTTCTCAGACTCAAGCTTTGACTATGGTCGTAGGCTATGAAGTTCCAATTATGTTTATATAAGGATTTAACACCATTGCGGAACTTCCAAGTTCCCGACAGTACAGCTTCTAAGGAGCTCTTTTTGCAGTACGCAATCAATCCGTCATGAAATTCTCAAGAAGCTATTTGGTCTCATACCAGACGCTAATAATGGGCGTACGAATGCACCAATGCTTACCCTCTCTAACTAAGCCAAACATTAAGTTGCTGGAACTGCAAAAACCGGCTGAGGTAGCTTCATCTACTTTGCATTGAAAATGGCTAAGGCTCACGAGTATAGCATATTCTTTGGCGGCGTTGAAAATTTTTCATAGACAGAATTTTAGAAAACTAAATAGAGCCGCACAAAAAACCGAATTCATTTTTCCTGGCATTGGCCACTGGTACTTCCCAGCAAACCTGTACTTCCCTGCCTGACTATCTTTATATCAATGATATCGCTTGTTTTTCTGGCTGAGACCTAGTCTAAGATAATGCCAACTTGCTAAGAAGTAGGAGTAGGACATTTTTCTATCCGTCCGTCCGAGTCACAATTATTCTATATTACAATATTAAATAAATATAATATATGTTTACCTGTTTTAGATCCACCTGTTGTGGCCGAACAGCAGCAGAATGTTCATGTGCCTCAATATTTACCGGATCCCCGCGATGGAAGTATTTATCAATTAAGTGATAGGGGAAATTTGAAAAAGTTGCCTTATACAATACCTCAGTTAGTGGCCAACGCTCCATGTCGATCTTCGGATGGGATTTTGTATTCCGGTAAGAAAAGTGATACGTGGTTCATAGTGGATCCGAAAACGGGACGACGTGAAAAGGTGAATTTTGAAGATTCGGTAAGTGGTGGTAAAAATAGCATTGGTTGGGCTACTTCGCGATCCATCTACTTGGGCCGTACACAGTATACTGTGATGATGTATGATAGCTTAGCCAAAGATAAGAACGCGAAGCCGTGGAATATTACGTTTTATGATTACAGCGCAATGGCCACAACTCCCGATATATCGAAAGATTACGGTAAGTAAAGTAGATTTTAGCATACAATACTATTTAAATAGGAATTATTGATCATTTAATTAGAGTATTTGCATCTAACTACTACTTCAAGCGGTAATATATTGACGTTGAACCGCAAAGATGGAAAATTTATGTGGAAAAATGATTTGACAAGTCCTGTTGTGGCGGCTTTTCTATTAGGTTCAGAAGGATTGCTGAGCATACCATTTACGACGGTGTCTGAGGAGGCTTTCGAAGCTATCTTAGAAGAATCGAAAGAAGGAAATGTTAACACAATTAAGTTATTGTAAGTTTGCAAACCTTCCTTTGCTCCTGTTTCTTGTTTTCAAAATATTTTTTTTCTTTCTTTACAGTCAAACGTTATATGTGGGTGAATGTCGCCATGGTTTATATGCGCTGCCATCATTGGTCGATAAGAGTACACCGAGAATTTCAACAGCACCGGCCATAAAATTATTGGACGGTCCTCATTCAAACGCAAAAGATGACAATTCGAAAACGGTTTATGTTAATGAAGTATTTGAAAAAAATGCTGGAATATTATTAGGTCACTATAATGCGCCTAACGATGTTACATTGCAAATTGCTCCTTCGAAAACCGTTGATAACGATAACATCGATCGCGGATTGGCAACAATTAACGCAGCTCTGAATGGGCCTGGTCTTAGTATTCTCTCATCGGATAAAGAGAAGCAATCCTCTGACGTAGGCGTTCAAACAGATCCTGTTATTGATATGGAAATCGAATCAACGAATTCAAATAAATCAAATGAAAATAATGCATTCAAGAAAACTAAAAAAATTATTTTATTAAACAGCGGCAAAGTGCAACGTTTTCTAAATGAATGGTTTATGGAACATCCTAGCGGACAAGTCCATCAAATTCTATTTGTAATTATACTCTTGATGGCGGCTATGTTTTGGTATATGCGCAGTTTAACGCGTGAGCTAAAAAATCAAAGCGAGAATGCTTCGAAGACGTATGAAAACAGCAGCGGAAACAGCAAGGGTAGCAATGGCAGCAATGTCAGCACTCAGGAGCAGCCGGCCGATTTGGGCAATGGTTACGTTCGCATCGGCAAGATATCCTTTAATTCCAATGAAGTATTGGGTAAAGGCTGCGAAGGTACTTTCGTTTTCAGGGGAACATTTGAAGAACGTTTTGTGGCTGTTAAACGTTTATTGCCTGAATGTTTCACCTTCGCCGATCGGGAAGTCGCATTATTGCGTGAAAGTGATGCTCACGAGAACGTAGTGCGTTACTTTTGCACCGAAGAGGATCGACAATTTCGTTACATAGCAGTAGAATTATGTGCTGCCACTTTACAAGATTACACGGAAGGTGAACGTTCTTCTGAACTACGGGCTCAAATCGCTGTTTGGGAGGTGTTAAAACAATCGGCAGAGGGTCTAAATCATTTACATTCCTTGAGCATAGGTAATGATTATTATATTACTATTTGGCAAAAGTGGACGAAACAGCTTACAATTATATTTATTTCCAGTTCATCGTGACATTAAGCCGCATAATGTTTTATTATCATATCCCGACATCAATGGTATCGTACGTGTTATGATTTCTGACTTTGGTTTATGTAAGAAATTGCATCACGGCAAGACCAGTTTTTCTAAACGATCTGGAGTAACGGGCACAGAGGGTTGGATAGCTCCCGAAATGATGAGAGGACAGAGAACAGTTAAGCGAACCCTTCATAGAAATTCCAGTTGTTGTATTTTAATTTTTCTTTGTTTTCTTTCTTATCGCCTTTACAGACTACATCAGTCGATATATTTTCATTGGGTTGTGTCTATTATTATGTGCTCAGTAAGGGTTATCACGTTTTCGGCGACGCTTTAAAACGTCAAGCCAACATATTAACTTATGACTTCAATATTTGCCATTTGAAAGCGGAAACAAAAGAAGAACAAAGCAAAATGGTATGTTTGATGGTTATTGTTGACAACGCGATATAGATATATGGATCTTTTAAATATGCTTTTCAGATTTTAGCTGGACAACTTATTGTCGATATGATACATAAAGAACCGCAAAGTCGTCCGTCGGCCAATTGCATTCGTAATCATCCGGTATTTTGGAATAATCAAACAATTTTAGCATTTTTTCAAGATGTCAGTGATCGAGTCGAAAAATTGCAATTTGATATCGAACCCTTAAAATCGTTAGAGAGAAATGGTAGCTTTGTAGTATTGGGTGATTGGCATTTGCATTTGGATTCAGTGATTACGATTGATTTGCGCAAATATCGCGGTTACATGGGAGCCAGTGTTCGCGATCTATTAAGAGCCCTTAGGAATAAAGTAAGTTGTGCCAATTTTTATGATCAAATGCAAATATAATTTCCTATCGTCATAACAGAAACATCATTATCACGAGTTGAGCGTTGAGATGCAACAACTACTTGGTACAATTCCGAATGAATTCACAACCTATTGGATAAGTAAATTTCCGAATTTAGTTTCGCACACTTATCATGCATTCAGTGTTTGCTCTAATGAGCCAATATTTCGACCATATTACAATTCATCGTATCATTTTACACGACCGGAATATTTTGAAGCGGATGATGAACTTTATCCGATTTTGTTAAAACGTGATCCGAAACCGTTGCCCAAGCAGAGTCCAAGTAATAGCAATTCTAAGAAAACATTTCAACATTTAAAATTGCGTAAAGGTGCCTACAATTTCCATAAACAAATCCCTGATGAAGATTTTCAAATGGAAGAAGAAGATATTGCTGAAAATCGTAATAAATTTTCAAATTTTAAATTTAGGCGATTTTCGAAAATATCAAATCGTCATTCCCACAATTCAAGTCAAGGTAGTAGTAACATATGTCAGCAGACAAAGGATGGCGTTTTAATCAGTACGCCCAAAGAAAATGATTAGTATTTCTATATATAATTTTTCTTTTCGTTTTTTTTTTAAAACGATTCTGGGCAGTTCCTACCTTTTAACGCAACTGTATGCCCTGTATGCCACGTTCTTAGTATATATTGGAGTATGTGTAAACATTGGCTTTTCATTTCTAAAATTTAAGTGTATATAATATTGAATGAATTTAATTTGCTTGGATTTATGTAAATATAACGGCTTTCCTGAAGCTTCATTTTAGGTTTAGATTTATATTAATATATATGAAAGAAGATGCATACTAGGAAGGCCATAAATTTTGGTCATGCATCTAAAAAATTGCCTGTGATAATTATATATATATATATATATATATATAGAAGTGTAATTTCTAAATGTCTCTCCTTCCTTATTAGTAAACGTGAATTCAAACGAATCTAGACGTTCCAAAATCTATATTTTTATTATAATAGTAAATATATTTCTATATTTATGTGTAATTATAGAAACAATTCTTTTTTAATTTGGAAATTTTTAACTTATGATTGCTTTTACCATTTATAATTGGAACTGCTCTCTCTCTCTCTTAACAATGTTAACATTATTAAATATGTTTTATTTTCGCGTAGTAAACATTGTAACCTTTTTATTGTAATTTTTTTTTTTTTTTTAAATATAATTAGAACAAAATAAATATTTTAATAAAATGACAACACCTATAAATTCAATATTTCTTAATACATAGTTAACAAGATTATTTTTCTTCACTTTTTAGTAAAAGTAATTTTAAAGAATTGTTAAAGGCCAGCATATGGAAGGAAAAGAAATATGATAGATACTATATTCGACTTGAGCCGAATTTTTTAACATTACTTATGATGATACTTATTAGCTTATGTACGATATTTGATCATAATATAGACAGAATATGTATTCACTTAAAACAGGCGTCTCCCATATAACACGTCTAATTTGTACCGAGCTACAGCGAAACTGCTATGCTGAACTATTTCATTTACTTATTTAAACTGGGATATAATATAGAATAATAAAATTTAACTTTAGATGTACTGCAGATTAAGGCAATGTGCACAGTATTGTGACGTTATCTTGTTTTGTGTTATATCGAAACCATGCAAATGAACCAAGGGCAATGTGCGCCGTAATTCTGAAGGTGTAAAACTCGATGATCACTAAAATTTTGTTCCAAGCATACATTCAAGGTTTTATAAAATAAAAGCAAGTGAAAGCGGACCTAACCCTATACCACAGTTATTCACAGAATGACTTTTCATAAAAAGCTTATATATGGAGAGTGATGGAAAAAGCGGTCTGATCCGGAACATTTCCATTGTCATTAGGCGAAAGTATGTCGGCTGACGAAATTTTCTCAAAAAACCCCAAAAATATCCATCTGTGAGTTGAGCAAAAGAAAACACACAGATGGACAGACACCCTTAGATCGATGCAAAAAGTGATTCTGTATCGATCGGTTTAGGAAATGATGGATCTACCTTAACTTCTGTTTATTGCACATACACGCACAAACCTAATATACTTCTGTACCACAAGTGCTGTAGGGTATAAAATTTTGGACTAATCGAAACAAAATTCAACGGAATCTGTACTCGATTTTTTGCAAAACCCAAATTTTACATCAAAACCGCTCTTATAATAGGCAAAAACTTTGAAACCGTGTTTACCGTGTTATACGAGGGACGCCTGATATAGCACATGTTTTAGGTCATGCTTTCGTGCTACGTGGCAGCACTGCGTTGTAAAGGATAAGAGTTTCAAATTGGTGACAGAGAAGAAAAATTTAAAAGTGCACCGATAAAGAGGGTAAATGTAATTGGGATGAATTCCCAAACTTTAACTGATGAAATAAGAAGGCAAGAGCTAGGAAACAATTTAAGTTCAGGCTTATTCTTTTGGATCCAGATTAGAACTTGAATAGATAGGTAAGAGATGTCCCAGATATATTTGTTGCTTATTTAGCAAATGGAGGATATAAAGAATGAAGATATGATGTAATGAGGCGGACTAACTAACTCATCGTTATCATATATGGGTTGATATAAAAAAAAAAAAAAAAATAAAGTAAGCACACACATACAAAAAACAAGAAATTTATAACAAAAGCATTTTCTTTCAATTTTTCACTTGTCGCATCTCTTGGCTGACGCACGATTTGAAGGCATCCCATCCCTCTGATTTTGAAACCGACTGAAAATAAATTTATAAAATAATAAGCAAATCATGTGCACAAATTAGTAAAATTTTTTTTGAAAATTTTATAAGATTTTGCTAATAATGAATATAACAAACATAAAAGGTAGATAGAATTTTCGGCGTAAACCCTGAAATTCAATTTTTGATAACATTACTTAGTTGTTGTAGAGAAAAAAAGTCCGTATTTTTCGGTCTCGTTTTCGATAGAAAATTATCTCGAAATTCTTTACTTTTGATGAAGAAGTTTGCGGTAGACGTTCTTGGAAATTAAAAAAACCGGAAGTAAGCCCTACTTTTTCTAATTGTTGGTCATGCAAGAGTAGATTGATTACAGTTACTTATGGGCATGTCGGTGAGACGATATCGATGATTTTCACTTCGTTGTGGTTTTTTAGGTTTTCGCTTCGACCAAATGCATCGAAATTTTCGCATCAGAGTTTTGAATGTATACGTAAGTCCTTCACGTATTCGTCGACACAGTGACAAAAAGAGCACGGTGAAAAGCTTAAGATTTAAGAGTTTTCGGAACAATGAGCATACCAGCAATTACAGACGGATAACCAGCCAAATAGATCAACAAATGGATAGGCGTTAGTTGAATCGATTCAGAATTTTATTCTTATCA